ACAAAGATCAAATCCAGGGCGCCCTGTGCAGTGCGGCCTCGGGGTGGTCATCCCTAGTTCGTGGCTATAAGACTTCTTTTCAGACCTTAGAAAGATGTAACAATATGCCTCACAGGGCTTCTAAGAGTCTTAAAGGTGGGCCTCATAGACTTTTCTCTGTCAGACAATAGGGCTTTTAAGAATTTTAAGAACGCTGGGAGCCCTTCCCTGAGAGGAGGACTTGGTTCTAATCAGAAACTGGAGATGTGTTTCTGGCTGGATTTCCAAATTGCTGTGGACCACGTTGCTGACGTAGGCTTTCTCTCTTCCCCGAATTTGGATTCCCTCTTTGGGCGGAGGGCGGACCGTGGTGTTTTCCCATCCTGACGTGACATCGTTTGTTGAATGGGTGGGGTCACGGTGCTCTTTCTCTAGTTCACAGGTCTTCGGAACAAGAGGAACCAGACTTGAGTTGCTGCTCCTGGGGAAACACTCCAGTGCACCTGGACCCGCCTCAGAGGATGCTCTGCGGGACCTTGAGCCTGAGCCTGGGCTGTGGCAGGGAGAGGCCTTGGAGGGGGCGGGGAGGCTTTGGATTCTGTGCCTGGAACTAACCTAAGTAGTTTGGGCTGGAGGACGGTCTGTGGCGGGTCGCCCACCATGCTGTGGGTCTGAGTCACAAACTAGCTGGATTTGAAGAGTTTGCATTTGAGGCAACTTTTCTTTTTTTGTCTGTTTTTGTTTTTTGCTTCCTTTTGAGGCAACTTCCTAGTCCAGTTTAAATGCAAATGGAAACCTGGCAGGTTAATCCTTGGGGACTACAAACAACTGGTCAGCACTTCACCTCTGGAAAACCCAAGCTGGACTCTGCACGATGACATATGGATGACAGCGTGCGGGAGGTGACTCCAGCCTTCCCTTTCCTGCTTCCGTGGGGGCTGAGGAGGGGGCCTCTTGCTGGGGAAGGTGACTCAGTCTAATGGACTCCGTCTGCTGTGACCCTGTCCGAGGTCACGCGTGGAAGGGCAGAGGTGGCAGGGACCGAGGAGCCCGTGGGGAGAGGTGGCTCCCTTGACAGCTCCTGAGAAATGACTCAACTTGGAAAAAGTGGGCTTTCTAGCCCTGCATGGGCATGTCCTGAGCTCTTTTCTGTGGGAGGCCACCGTCCACAGAAGGGAGTGAGCCTGGGGACCTGCAAGCCAGGTGGGACCAGCCGTTTCCATCTCTCCGCATGCTCCCCTTATGTTTTCCTGAGAACTCTGTGACTGCATCCAAATTTTTTCCTCTCAGCCATTCTTCTGAGGACATGCTCACCTCTGTCTCCCAAGAAACAGTTTAGAAATGATGGCTAAACCAAGCCCCGCAGGGCAGGGCCCATGTGAGTCCCGCTGCGGAGTGGGATGGATGGAGGCTGGAGAGAGTCCCCGGATGTTTATTCCCCTCCCCTCCCGGATATTCCCTCTGCCCTCTCCACAGCTGCCGGGAACTTGGCATTTGGTTTTTTGGCCTCTTCCTTTAAACAACTGAACCAAATGGCTTCTGATGCCCACAATCATAACCGCCTCGAGTTAAACCTGAAAAACTTTTGACCGCTGTTCTGCATTTCAGTTTTCACAAAGAAAGTAAAGGGAAATGTGCCAACTTGAGAGCCCAGACCTCGGTTCCTCTGGGGACAGGAGCTGGAGCTGTCAGGTGCCCAGCAGCTAGGGCTTCACTGTGCTTCCCCTGTAGGAGTGGGACGGCTGGGGACTGAGTGACACAGACAGGGACGGGAGGATGAAGAGGCTGGTCGGGGCACAGGTGACTGGGTGCGGGAGTCCGGGCTTTTTTTTTTCTCTTCCGCATTTTTTTCCTAAAGGAGCCAACCCCCCGCTCTAGAAATGTCAAGCATTTTCCAAACGACATTTCAGGTAAAGTCGATTGGCTCGAGTTTCTGAGAAAGCACTTAAAGGCAAACTTTAGGAGCAGATGTCAGCATTCTGGACCCTCCTGATGTTATTAAAAGTGCAGGTGGTGGCTGACATGGCTAAGTGGATGGGGCAGGAGCTGGTCCCTGGCCAGAAGGCATCACAACTCATCATCCCCTAAAATACCCATCAGGGAGATGGACGAACCCTAGGAAAGATGGGCCGTACATTTGAAGATGCTTATTTTTCCTCCAGATTACGTGCAAATCCCATTATAAGAGGGAGCACCTGGTCCGAGGTTCAGGACCCTAGGTGATGGGGGATGGGGCCCATGCACCCCCGAGGCTGGCCAGAGAGCCCACACCAGAGGTACACCCTTGCACTGGTCTCACCCGCCTTCTGGATGGCACGCAGGTACCCTGCCTGGACCACTCTCTCCAGACTGCTGGGTTGCAAGAGCAGAGCAGCCTGGGCCTCCCGGGTTGAGGGAGGGCCAGCACCTTGCCCACCTGGCGTCTCGGCACCTCTTGGGGCGCTGCCTCTGTGGGCTGCCCTGTACTCCGATCAGGCCACGGTGGCAAGTGTTCCTGGCCCAGAGCTCAGGGCTGAACTCAGATCTCGTTTCAGGAAGCAGCGTGGCCTCCCTGCCAATCGTAGGGGTGGGAGCACCGAGGCCAGTGATGCGGGCCGTTCCTTTGCCAGCAAAAGGGCTGGAGTGCAGTCTTCCCAGGATTCATTTCAAATCAGGCTGAAAAAAAAGACGCCTCATTTCGCCTAAGTGCCGCCTTTGCAGAGTGAAAACGGAGACTTTTATCTGTCTCTGCCTGCTGCCTTCTCCACCCCCCCTGCCTCAGAGGTGGTCTAATGGTAAATGGTTCATTGCTGCTAACCAGTTCCAGGGCCTGGGACAGGAAAGGGCAGGAGGCCGGCTGCAGGCGGGGCAGGACGGGGCAGTGGTGGGGAGAGCACTTGACTACGGCTCCTCCTCCCTGGCCATGAACCTGGCGCGGTCTCTTCCTCCTTAGGCTCTGGGCTCACCTGAGTGCCTTCTGGGGAGCCCTGATCTGGATTCAACTGGGGCTCAAAACTCCGAGAACCGCTTTCTTGCTCAGGCCTCTTGAATTGGCCATGGGATCTGACCTGGGGCAGAAGGAAGCTCTTTCGGCCACCCCATCAGCTCCTGGCGGGCATGGCCAGGCCACAGGGCCTTCATGACTCTGCTGGGCTGTATTATCAAAGGAGTGCTTGATTTATGAACGTCAGAAAATTGTAAACCCCAGCCTTCCTTAAGCTTTAAGTTCAGCTTTTAATCTAGTGTTCATTTTTTTGACTTTTTTTAAATCGAATTATAGTTGATTTCTAGTGTTGTGAATCTAGCATTCATTTTTAACTTAAAACGTTTAATCCCATTTTAAGCTGTCATCCTACCCAGCTGGCCCATTTAAAAGCTTGGAAGGACTTCATGGACTGTCCGTAACATTCTTAGCTTTCCCCACAATTCAGTCCAAGCTATATTCCTGTCCATCTCCCTTTCTATCCAAAAGCCCCATTATCTTAAGGGAAAACATGACTTGGGAAACAGTGTTCAAATGTGAAGTTTCCTCCGATGTAAATTTGGAGGCTTGGGTCTCAGTCTACTCCCTTTGGCTGGAAGTGCTTTGATTAGGTGGCATGTGAATGTTTTTAGAGTCCAGGGCAAGCTGCCTCTTTCACCACTCAGAGCAGAACATTTAGGAAGAAACCCTCTCTCTATCTCTTCTCCCATCTGGGAGGCAAGCTCAGAGCAGGCATTAAGGTGGGCTGTTGGCCCTGCACACCAACCCCGCAGAAGCCTGGCGGTCCACCTGGGGAGCCTCCACCTCTGTCCATCCCTGAGCTGACCCGAGGGCCCAGCTCCATCCTCAGCTGCTCGGTCTCCTCCCAGGCCTGGGAGTGAGGTGAAGTGACCTCCTCATCCCATCCAGTCTGTTCATCCAACCTCCCCTCTAGACCCCACCTCACTTCTCTTATTCTGCACCCGAATATCAGCCACACACAGCTAATCCTTTGGGATTTTTCCAACCAGATGTTATGTAGTTCATAAGACTGTTTTTGTTTTAATAGACACTTCTATGAGAAGTGATCTTTCAGGTAGGACTCAGAAGAGAACTTAATCGCTGGCAAGTTGGGGAACCTTCAAAATTTAAACA